CGGCTGTCTACACTGGCTGCTTGAATTTCTGCAAAAGCACTGACTTCCTACTGTAAGAAATCAGTGCTTTTGACGGAAATACTATGCTGCGCCCGTTCGGGCAAAAGTCCCTTTTGCACAAAACTTTTGCGCAAAAGGGCCAGTTTAGACAGCTGAGTTTTGTTTTGCGCAAAAAAGCCCCAATCACAAAAATGGTGATCGGAGCTTTTTTGTGCAAAAGCGCGTCTAGATTGGCCACGGACGCTTTTCCGCAAAAAGTGCTTTTGCAGAAAAGCGTCCGTGCCAATCTAGACGCTCTTTTCCGAAAATGCTTTTAATGGAAAACTTTTCCGTTAAAAGCATTTCCGGAAAATCATGCCAGTCTAGACATAGCCGTGCTTTTTTCCTGTTTCGGCAAGGTTGAGCTTTTTTGTGCAAAAGCGCGTCTAGATTGGCCACGGACGCTTTTCCGCAAAAAGTGCTTTTGCAGAAAAGCGTCCGTGCCAATCTAGACGCTCTTTTCCGAAAATGCTTTTAATGGAAAACTTTTCCGTTAAAAGCATTTCCGGAAAATCATGCCAGTCTAGACATAGCCGTGCTTTTTTCCTGTTTCGGCAAGGTTGAAGTATCCACCATTCTTGGCCACTCTGGGGTTCAAGACATGGGTAGGAAGGTGTTGGGGTTCCCACCCTTTTCTTCTTTAAAGGTATGATGACAAGAGTCTGCCTTTCCAAAGTATTCTTCATCTTCCTCACTGTTTCTTGGTGTCTTCTCTTATGCTTTCCTTCTGATTCACCCATTCTCACCACAGTCCCAGCCCACCACAACCATATGCTTTCCACACAAAAAAAACACGTTTAAAATGAGGCTGGAAAACATGTTAAAAAGTCTCAGGGGGTAGCCATGTTAGTCTGTAACTTACAAAAACTTTAAAAAAGTGGTCCTGTAGCACTTCAGAAACTAACAAAAATTGTATATAGTATCATGAGCTTTTTTGGGAACAATCCACTTCTTCAGATGCATGGTGCCTTAATGGATAGATCGTGGCTTTAGAAAGATCCAGCTGAATTGGGCAGAAGTACATGAGATGAATAAGTAAGAAACTGGTCTGACCAATGTATTAAAGAAACATGCTGCTGTTTTTGAAGAGGATCTGGGAAGCATTAGGAGAATCACTGTGAAACTGAACATTAAAACTGACAGCCAACCAAATAACTGGAAGCCAGAACTGTTCCATATGTCATCAGGTCAAAAGTTGAAGTGGACCTGGAGCACCTAGTCACAAATGAAGTCTCATACCAGTTACCCATAGCCCTTGGGCCACTCCAATTATTCCAATATTAAAGAAAGATGGTTCTATTCAGATTTGCAGAGATTTTTAAGGTCACTGTTAACCTGGTGTTGTGTGCAGAACAATACCCTCTTTACTGCATCAATAACCTCTTTGCGGGCCTGCCTGGTGAACAAAAGTTCAGCAAGATTGATCTGAGTCAAGCGTATTTATAGATGTACATTGATGAGAAGTCCCAAGAGCTGATGACTGTTGTGAAACATAAAGGACTTTATTATTACTGTCAGGGACTCGAACCCAGATGGCGTCCGTTCATTATCTGACCGCAAAGAGACAGGCAAAACCAGCAAGGTTAAATCATAAGCTCTTTATTGAAGAGTGCACACAACAATAGAGAGCGGCCTGTCTCCGAAGAGAACCAGCTCTGATTTCATTAACAGGTAGTCTTATATAGACAGTTCCGTCGCGTCATAGACTTCTCAGTTAAGCAACCCACCCCCCTTTATCAGTTAGATAAAGGTACCAGGGTTGGTATTAGTGTGGTATGTCTTGTGGTTGTTGGTAAGAATCATCTTGAGGTTAGGTGGTTGTCTATAGGAGACTATGGATCTCTACCAAGCATTTATAAATCTCAACTACCCACCCGGAGAAATAAAAAAGCAAATTGAAAGAGCCAGACGAATACCTAGAAACCATCTACTTCAAGACAGACCCAAGAAAACCAACAATAGAACACCACTTGTCATCACCTACAACCCCCAACTTAAACCTGTCCAACACATTATCAATAAACTACAGCCTATACTGGAACAGGATACCATACTCCAAGAGGCTCTGGGAGACAGACCCATAGTCTCCTATAGACAACCACCTAACCTCAAGATGATTCTTACCAACAACCACAGGACATACCACACTAATACCAACCCTGGTACCTTCCCTTGCAACAAACCCCGTTGCCAGCTTTGTCCACATATTCATTCTGCTGATACCATTATTGGACCTAACCAAGTGAGTTATAAGATCAAGAACACATATTCCTGCGCATCCAGAAATATAATCTATGCTATCATGTGCCGAAAGTGTCCGTCTGCTATGTACATTGGACAAACATCTCAGACACTTCGCCAAAGGATTAATGCCCACAAAACAGATATCAGACAAGATCACAAAGAGAAAACAGTTTCTTGCCACTTTAACCAGAAAGGACACTCTCTAAATGACTTAGCCACCTGCATTCTGCTACAAAGACCTTTTACTTACATCTGCACTTGAAAGGGAATCCTCTGAACTGTCATTCATGTTAAAATTCGACACTTACCAACAAGGACTTAACAAGTCTTTGAACTTTCTCACCCATTACCAAGACAGTTTCCCCAATTATCACCTGTAATACCATTAACTCACAAACATCCCACTCTCCCTACCTTTAATATCAGCAATTCACAGACACTTACCTTCCTTCCTCCCCCTTCCCACCCCCCCGCATCCTCCTTCTGTTCTGCAATGTGATTTGTCCTTTTCATATTTGTTCATTTTTTTAAATTGTATCCTTTGGTATATATGGTTGTGACTACTTTCTTCCACTATTTGATCTGAGGAAGTGGGTCTGGCCCACGAAAGCTCATCATCTAATAAACCATCTTGTTAGTCTTTAAAGTGCTACATTGTCCTGCATTTTGCTTTTATTAAGGGGACATTCTTATTAAGGGGGGGAGAATATGTTGTGTACTGGATTATTGTAGATCTTGTTATACTAACTGAGTTATATCATTAGGGGTCAGCACAGCCCGTTTTGGCTGGTTCTGTTTAGTTCTGTTTGTCATTAGGGGTCAGCCCAGCCAGTTTTGGCTGGTTCTGTTTAGTTCTGTTTTATGAAATAAATGGAATCTTGCAACTGCTTCAGATTTCTGTGTTTCAAGTGATTTTTTTCTAAACTCTGTAATTCCAAGCAATATAATAAGAAGGAGGTAAACAGCCCTTAGTAGTGAACGAACAGGGTAAGTACTATTTAGAAAAGCTGGACATGCACAAGTCCATAGGCCGTAAGTACTATTTAGAAAAGATGGACATGCACAAGTCCATAGGCCAGATGCAATGCATTTGAGAGTGCTGAATGAGTTGGCTAATATGATTGCAGTGCTATTGGCCATTATCTTTGAAAACTCATTGCAATCAGGAAAGGTGGCAGATGACTGGAAAAAGGCAAATATAGTACCCATCTTTTAAAAAGGAAGAAGAATCTGGGGAATTACACATCAATGAGCCTCACCTTTGTCTGCAGAAAAATCATGGAGCAGGTCCTCAGCAAATCCATTTTGAAGTGCTTGGAAGAAAGGATCGTGATCAGGAACACTCAAAGTGGATTCACCAAGGACAAGTCATGTCTGACCAACCTAATTGCTTTCAATGATAAAATAAGTGGCTCTGTGGATATGCGGAAAGCAGAGGACATGATACAGTCTCCCATAGTTTTTTTGCCAACAAGTTATAGAAGTACGGATTGGATGAAAGGACTATAAGGTAGATAAAAAGCTGGCTAGGTCATTGGGCTTAATACATTGTGATCTATTGCTTGATGTCTAGTTGGCAGACAGTATCAAGCAGCATGCACCAGGGAGTCATTGGGCTTAATACATTGTGATCAATTGCTTGATGTCTAGTCAAGCAGCATGCACCAGGGATTGGTTTTGTTCAACAACTTCATTAATGGTTTGAATGATGGAAGGAATTGCATCCTCATCACATTTGTGGATGACACTAAGCTGGGGGAGAGGTAGAAATACTAGAAGGTAGGGATAAGGCCCAGAGTGACCTAGACAAAACTAGAAGGTAGGGATAAGGCCAGAGTGACCTAGACAAATTGGAGGAGTGGGCCAAAAGATATCTGATGAGGTTCAATAAGGAGAAATGTAGAGTCCTGC